AAATTCCATGTTACTTAATGTCACAATGACAAACTAAAGCTCTGCTAAAACATACTACTCTTGTACATACTAATTATAGTCTGCTTACCTGTAGGAAATATGAAAATACAGTTTCAGATCAGGAGCTCTCTCTGTAGCGTGCACACTGAAACTCACTCATCACGTACTGAATACTACCTCTGCTCTACAGGTGTGATGCTCAGTGTAGTGTACAGTTTAGAGTGCCTCTACTGAAGAAGCACATTCACTCAGAATACACTGTGATCAAATAATACAACAGGTCAGTGGAACAGTTGTTTGCTTCTGAGTTTAGCTTTCACTCACAGTGCCTCATATGTTATTTTATTTTGCTGTGTTTATTACAATTGTCGATGAAGTGCTGGCCAACTAAATATTTACGAACAAAAATTATAATCTAATAAAAAAGGACGGTCCTCTTTGTAGAAGAGAGCACTAAGACACAGTTCCTGCCGGCATAGACACAAAGGCACACACAAAAACACCCTAGACACAAACACATGCTAACACCTAAACGCACACACGATCACACGGTGTGAGTTTTTTTTTATACCAATTTTCCAGAGAGGAGTAGCACATGTCTTTTTGTGTACCTCAATGCATGCTTCCCCTGCAAGGTTGGATAACATCTACTTCTCTTGAGGAGCAGGAAAAAAAACTGGCAACACAGTCATCTCCTAATTACAAACTATCCATCTGGTTTCACACTGTGAAGGATGTGTCGGAACAATATTGCAACTGAGGCTTCAGTGTTCCATGTCACTCTTAGAGCTACTCCATGGGAGCCAGAAACGAGAGCCACAGAATTACTGAATGCCATGTACAACAACAAAGCCTCCAATTTTTCAATTCTAGAAAGCTTCTCAGGTAAACACAGAATAAACATGACAGTCAATGGGAATGTTTTATTGTTAAGGTAAACAGGTAAATAATAAATCAATACAAAAGAAATTCAAAGTACAATGCAATGCATGATTGAATTAAACAACACAGAGTACGGGTTTTATCTTTCTCAGGTTCTTGCTGTTTGTGTCTCTGTTGCCAGTAGAAAAATGTTTAGGCCAAAGTCCAAAGACCAGGTCTAAATGTTAAGGACATGGCCACTATCCTATCAGTTAGAGCACATTAAGTCTTGCACTGTAATTATGTATAATGCTTGTTAAGCACTGGCTCAGAGTAAAGAAATACAGAGACAGTTGACAAATGACCAGTTAAATTTTAAATCTCAACTCGTCCTCAAGAGACACTATGAATACTATGCATTTTTGTATTAATACAAATAAAATGAAATGTTCTAACTGAATATGTGTGTGAGTGGAGTGTTTGTGCATGTGATAAAATATGGCTGTGTGTGTTTTACAACTCCATTACACAATGTGCAACTGTAGTTGAATCTCCAGCATCAGCATCAGCAATCTGCAACCTCTGTTCAACTGTAAGTGTTTGTGTGTGTGCACTTTAAAACGTGTTTGAAAGATCACTTGAGACACAATCATCAGACCTCTTTCACTGATACATTCCATAGGAGAGATTAACATATTTTCAGAGTTTTTAATAAGAAAACAAAAAGAAAAAGTATCTGTAATCATGTGAATTGTTCTAACCATATTTGACTGGTGGCTGGTGAGACAAAAAAACTTCATGTTGTTTTATAGTAGTGGGCTAACTTTACTGGCTATTTTAAAACTATGCCTCACTTTGCCTCGTCTACCAAGGTTTTTTTTTTTCCACGTGTACCATTTGTCTTTGTTCAAGGTTTCTGTATCAGGACTGCCTTATTTAACTGTTCCTTTGATATGTGAGCCTTCATTGCACTTTTCCCTTTCCGGAAATAAAGTAATCATTCACTTATTCGTATGCTCCTTGGAGAAAACCTATTGCCAATTTGGCATAGTCCTATTGTCTGGTTATGTTGCCAGACCAGTGTGTTCATTGACCAGTCTGTAAGCTAAGTACCCGTCATGTATCACAGACTGTTTAGCAATACTGAATTAAACAGCAGTCGAAGCCCCAATAAATTACCAAGTTCCCATTGCTTCTCATCAAGGCAATGAGGTGGGTAGAGCAGATGTTTTGAGCCACCAACTTGCACCCAGATCCTTTCTCATATTGCCTGTTTAAATTGAACTGGGCTGATACTGTAGGTCAGCATGAATGCAGTCTAAGCTGATATTGAACAGGAAGACAAGTTTTATCATCATGCTCAATAGGTTGTTTCCTGAGGCCACAGCTCTGTTCATATAATTGGGGCACCAATCAGTGATCTGGCTATAACCTTGTTCTTTCTTGTTTCTAACATTGTGCTCTGCACTGCGGGAACACACTGGCTCTGTATTCTGAATTACTCGCCAGAAACAGGCTCTAAGGTGTATAGGAGACTGTGATTACCTTTATCTCTTTGTATCAAAGTGTTCTACTTGTTCTTGTTCTCTTAAAATACTATATCAGTGTTGTTCTTTTCCTTTTTTATTTCTCAGACTCAGTCAAGACCATAGACTGTAAATATTAAAGAACAAAGCCTGCATGACGTCAGTCATCTGTAACAGCAGGGGGCTCCAGAGGCTAATCAGCAGCAGCAGCCATGCTGGAAATGCTGTCTCAGCCTAACTTTCAGTCAATTTAACAACAGACTGAGAGCTGGAGCTGAGGAGGTTTTTAAGCCTCTTGCCGAACTATTAGATCGTGCCCACCTTTCAATCATGTCAGCTACATGCATTATGGAAAACTCGTATCGTTCATAAAATCAATACAGGGCCATTTTTAACAAACAAGCTGTTCTGCCTGTGGTTTGTAGGTGACTACCGGTATTCCTGGAGCCAGCCTCAAGCGAATACTCAACGAACTGCAGGATTTCGCACTTCCGCATTGGCCTCACATTTTGTGAGGTCACATATTAATATCAAGATACATATTGGTGGCAAAAAAATAGGGTATGGTTACAAAAATAAATAATGATCGAAAGCTAAACTGTCAGCCTGAAATTTAGTCTATTTTCAGGTTCTTGTTTTTTGTTTGTTTTTAATGTACATAACAATTATAACAAAATATTAATTACTTATATTTCAAACTATTTCTAATTTGATATAAGTACAAGGGATAAACGTCTTATCTGTTATTGTATTGAGTTAATAGTGAAGCATTTGCACCAGGGGATTGGTTCACCAATCAGCAAACAGATAAATTAGAAAAAGTTTGAAAATCAAATGTATGCACAAAAAAAAAACCTTCTTTTACAGCTGGAAATGTGATTGCAAATGAGATTAAATCCTGATGAGCAGGCCCTGCATGGCAGCTTCTGTTGAGAGCTTATTTTTAAATGTAGTGAATGTTGATGTAGCTGCTTTAAGAGTGGTCGAAGACTCAAAAGGAACTATTAGAAGATTCTTTAAGTCTGTTTTATTCGCAAATAGTGCTGTGCACTGCTAGTGTTTCACCCCTGTACAGCATACGGTTGAGTGTGAAATTAAGAAGGAAAGAAACAAACATGTTTTTACTGGCTTTAACCACCATGCAGGGCCTGCTCATCCATTGTAAAAAGGTTTTTTTGTGTGCATACATTTGCCCCAATTATATGAACAGAGCTGTGGCCTCAGGAAACAACCTATTGAGCATGATGATAAAACTTGTCTTCCTGTTCAGTATCAGCTTAGACTGCATTCATGTTGACCTACAGTATCAGCCCAGTTCAATTTAAACAGGCAATATGAGAAAGGATCTGGGTGCAGGTTGGTGGATCAAAACATCTGCTCTACCCAACTCCTTGCCTTGATGAGAAGTAACGGGAATTGAACATTTCTTGGGGCTTCGCCTGCTTTTTAATTCAGTATTGTCTGTGATACATGATACATGTACTTAGCTTACAGACTGGTCAATGAACACACTGGTCAAACAACTTAATACCAGACTATAGGCCACAGACTTTCTCCAGGCAGCATACAAATAAATGAATAGGCTAAATATTTAATTTTTGGGTCTGGTTATTTACATTACCCATCCCACAAGAGCTTATTCAGACACATTAACTGAAAATCAATCAAATATTCCAGGATGTCATTCAGACAACATCAAATAGCACCTTTAACATGTCATTTAAAATAACACTGTACAATACTTAAAAAGAGCCCTTGGAAGTCAAAGGCATGCAGATTTGCACTATTATTTCAAGGCAAGCAAGGGGATAACTTTACATACATGTAAGAATTAATTCTAATTAATCATATTTCACTTTTCAGCTCCTTCAGAACACGATGCACAGTGAACTCCTTTAATCTTGTGTTAACACAACATAATAACATAAACCACAATAACGAGTTTAAAGGGCTACTGCAAGTTCACGCAGGCTTTTTAATAATGTTTCCCCCAGGTTGAATGTGCAAAATAAGTATTGTGGAGAGTGTATTCACCTGATGGCTTGCAAATAAGTAATATTGCGTATCTAATGTACATCGGTACGAGTGTGTGATGGCCTGTATGTCCATACGGAGCTGGCTGTTACAATACTGACCTCCAGTGTGCGCTCAGAGGGTCGGATTAGTGCGTGATGTCCTTGGTGCGGGACTGCTGCTGTCAGCCTGTCTTTACACAGATGTGACCTCCCCTGCTCGACTTCTTCTATTTAAATTGATTTCATAATGGCACTCCTATGATTATACTGAATATACTTTCAGAAGTAAAATAAAGAGAGCGATCGTCTCTGATCATGGCCATCCGATTTGAGACTTTGCGCGCAGAGACACATTGAACGGAAGCTACTCCGACACTGCTATTTCCTAATAAATGATAAATGATATATTATTCAAATATAGCCTACACTCAACATTTTTTTTGTTATTTCGTTTCCTTCTTCCTATAATCTCCTCATGCTCCCCTGCGCCGGAGCGAGTCCGTGTTTGATTTGTCTCCTATAAAAAAAGAGAGAGAGAGAGAGATAACAGACAAGTGGTTGCTCAGACCTCTTTCAGGACACAGTGGGGAGGCGGAGGTGGAATGATGCGGGCGCACTCGAGATATTAGAGGACGCGCTGAGAAGGATAGGCGCTCTCTGAATATGAAGATTTTGAACATTCGAGATGTTTTTTAATGAGGACATATCATGCTTTCTATATTGCGTTATATCTATCCATTCTTCTTTTGTCATTTTCTCTATTTACCCACGAGAGTCTTGCACGCATGATCTGGAAGATCGCAGGTGAGGAGATATGAAGAAGAATGCCATAAGCTGTAGATTTCTAGTTGAATATGCACTGACGTACTTGTGGGATATTTCTATGGATTACTTTAATAGATTTATTTATGATTTTTAACAATACAACGATCTAAAAACAGAAAAAACGACCACAATGGATGTATTTAATAGCACTAATCTGGAGGACGGAATTGAAGCAGTGAATATCTCCTATAATTCTACATCTCAGAGTCGATACACCCAGCTTTCTATCTGGAGTCTGGCCGGACTTGTAAGCTTTCTAATTTTATTTACAATAGTTGGAAATGTCCTAGTTGTTATCGCTGTTTTAACGAGCAGAGCTTTGAAACCACCTCAGAACCTTTTTCTTGTTTCCCTGGCCAGTGCGGACATACTGGTGGCCACCCTGGTCATGCCATTTTCTCTTGCAAATGAACTCATGGGCTACTGGTTTTTTGGTAAAATTTGGTGTGACATCTACCTGGCTCTTGACGTTTTATTTTGCACTTCCTCCATAGTTCACTTGTGTGCTATTAGTTTGGACAGGTATTGGTCAGTGACACAGGCTGTGGAGTACAACTTAAAGAGAACCCCCAAAAGAGTTAAATTCATGATTGTGGTGGTATGGTTGATTTCAGCTGTTATCTCCTTTCCACCACTGATATCAATGGACAGGACCAATAATGAGTCCAGTCCCCAGTGTTTCCTGAATGATGAGACCTGGTACATCCTCTACTCCAGTATTGGCTCATTCTTTGCCCCCTGTGTCATCATGATCCTTGTTTATGTTCGGATTTACCAAGTTGCAAAGACCAGGACCAGAACAATGTCAGAGAAGAAGAGGGATGTGGACTTTCCACTGGAGAACGGGATGGAGCAAGCTGAACCAGGAAGAGGAGGATCATTAAAGTCTAACAGGACCGGCAGCATGGGAGAACAGGAACATGAGAATGGGTACTGCCAAGAGCCAGAAACTCAATCCCCTCTTCCAAATGAGGCGAAGCATCTGCCAACCGACCACAATGATGATTTTGAGGACAGCAGCTCATCAGATGAGAAACCTAAAAAGGGTTTCAGTTTCTCCAAACATCATCATGAAAAAAAAAAGAGAGGAAGTTCAGCCGGAAAAGCAGCTCAGCCTCCAAATACTCAAGCAGGAAGTCACGAGCCAGTTCCAAGTCTTTGGAGCTCTTCTCGTCTAGAGGAAAACGAAGAAGCACCATCAATGGGAAGAAAGTTTCAGCTGCCCGGGAGAAGCGTTTCACCTTTGTCCTTGCTGTTGTAATGGCGTTTTCGTTGTCTGCTGGTTCCCATTCTTCTTCTCTTATAGCTTGTATGGAGTCTGCAGGGAGCTGTGCAAAATTCCTGAGACATTGTTCAAGTTTTTTTTCTGGATTGGCTACTGTAACAGCTCACTTAACCCGGTCATCTACACCATCTTCAACCGAGACTTCCGCAGAGCTTTCCAAAAGATCCTCTGTAAGACATGGAAACGCTCTTTCTAAATGTGGGCATGGATGCAGTTGTAATAAATGTTGGATGAAAGGATTTAACTACTGTGCAAAGAAGGATTACAATGCAAAAGTAAGCTGACAATATACACATCATATTCTTTTATTTAACACCATCAGGCTGATTTTAGACTGATGGAGCCTCAGGTTATTCCTTATTTTTTAGACTTCTTTTCCATTTATTTAAATACAAGAAACTAACTCTTAACAGTCACTTTGATGTATGCACACCACAGTGGCTCATCTGCATGAACTGCACAGGAGGTAAATGGTTTAGAGAATCACTTGATTCATAATGTTACCTTATCCACTCAGTTTAATGCCAAGGCCTTGACAATCTCTACACAACTGTTACTCGAAGCGTCAGTGATATATTCTCTGACACTCAACAATAGGGCATTGGGACAATCGGCCTCCTTCCTTACTGTTTCAGTAGCAAACCTGTTGTTATGGTGATATTGTTTTCTTAAGTTCTCCATGTTGGGCTCAAAAGAGTCAAAAGTGGAAACTGAAGGGGAAGACATTGTATGAGGACATACAGTATGTTTTGTTTTTTGTATACTTGCACATGTGGCTTGGAATCAATCCAGAAACTGTTACACTTAGTACATTAGTACATCAATGTTAACTGGGCATGTCCCCTTACAGACAAATGTTTGCACCTGTCTTTGAGGATATAAATGGAATAAGGAAATCCAGACAAGGCAGATTATTAGCCTCTGAGGCTTCACTGTTTACTGAAATGTGTTAGTTCTGTATGTGTGTGTGTGTGTGTGTGTGTGCGCGTGTGTGTGTGTGTGCGTGCGCGTGTGTGTGCGTGTGCGTGTGCGCGTGGGCGTGTGTGTATGTGTATAAGCGTGCTTTGTTTAAATAGCCTGATTCTTTGTGGTTATGTGTCACAACTCCAAAAATCATAACCAGACATGTATTAATATATTAAATATGTACTTTGTGTTTAAAGAACAAGGTTTTTTTCTGTTACTGTTCATTAGCTTCTGTACTTTTTTAAAAATAACTAATGTTTACTTCTCTGCTTTGAGCACATACTAAAAGATCAAATAAAGCCTTTTTTTGTCATTTGAAAATGCCTGAAGCATGTACAGTATTCAGAGTCCATTTTCCATCTCCTAATGTTTCTGTTCTGCAGCTGTTGTTTTTGTATTATTTAAGCTGTCTCTCTAATAACTGTGAATTAGAACAAACAAATGTAAATGGTCTTACTTGATAAACTGCTGGCATTTTTTTAAAATTTAGTAAGCTGCTGTTGTTCAGGCTTGATCAGTGAAGGTTATTTATCTGGAATCCATCCTACCTACGATACGGTATTATTCCCTGGGTAGACTGGTGAGCGGGACACTGAAATCAGGGTTATTCACACAAAGAAGTCACCAGCATGTTTATCAAAACTTTGATGTTTGACTTAAAAAGTCACAATATGAAACAACAACTGCCCTATAGTGGTTGTTGTGGTGATGCCTGTCAAGTCAAATTGTTGGTAGCTAAGCCATTAAATTACACCGATAAGTAGAAGCTAATTATAATTCTCCAAAGCATGTCATGGGAGAGTGAGTGCATAAAATAGCATGTGAAAAAGTTTCTTGGGGAAAGTGACAGCTGAAAAGACCAGCCTCACAGACTCCACTTTGCAATTTGTTGGACAAATCCACGTTAAATGGCTTTTGTCATGATGGAGTCTAAAAAATGTGGCTAATGTTGCTATATGCAAATTAGGATGACTGATTGGTCAACAACAAAATGTTGAGGTTGCAGTAGACTCTTTATGGAACTGTGCAGGACTTGCCACTTACCCAACATACATTTTATTAAACACACAATTTATGAGTTATGCCGCTGGGAGGCTCCCAATCAAAAAAAGTACAACATATGACTTTGACGTTTGTGGGGAATCACGGGAGAGACTCATTCTGCTGTTCCACCACCACCCCTGATCAAAACGTACTCCCAGTTGACTAGTTAAGACAAACGGCTGAAACAGACCCGAGGAAGATGTTTACTGACGAGTTAATAAAGTTAATATATTTAATAAATCCATGTCAAATGGTTTTTTTCACAGCAGCACATACAGCAACAATATGGTAGCCATTCCTGCTCCTCATGTAGCAGTCTTTGATGTATCATCTGGTGTTTCCACAGCAACAAAAAACATGCCGTTGCTGTCATGGCGGCTCTGACATGATGGCAGCTGCAGCGATAAGGCACGTCTCGTTACAACTATAAAATTAAGGATTTTGATAACTGTTGGAATTATAGGGTGTAAAGTAATTACTCAACAAAATCAATATATATAATATAGGTTCAGTCCATTTTTAATTATTTTACATATTATAGTGTAACAATTCTACATATTGCCGTACACATATTTTCAAATGTATTTACCTGAAAGGATCGTATTTTCTGCAACCCAAATGCAACTTCCGCAAGCCAATTTCAACTACTCCCCTAAATTTACTTATTGAGTTTTTAAAGGCAGGATGTGCAACATTTTACAAATGTACAGCAGAAATTCAGTATATCCTATGTAAAAGTCTCTGAGTCATGGCTGTCTACAATGACTAAGAAGCTCGAGTCTTGCCAACTGTACAGTAGTCTGAGCCGTGTTGACATCATGTTTACATGGACGGGCAGCCTTGCGTATGAAGCTGTTTTAGTCAAGGACTAGAGAAAAGAAGAACAACATAGTCTACTCACTGCTTATTTGCACACGTAAGTGTCTTTAGATCTCGGTCATTCCGTGTCAATTTATGTGCAATATGAAGCTATGAGTTAACCAAAGTGTACTAACGTTAGCCTGCTAACACAACAATGCAAAGGCCAATTTTGTCTGCCACTTGCGCTTAATGGTGCTTAATTAGGGTGCGTAATTATGGTACGTTCTAATTGATAACTCTGGGGCTGGGGCTTCAGAATAGCGGAGGGTCCACCAAACAGCAGTTTGTTGTTTGCATTGGTTTCTCCCAGGGCGACATCTACTGGATCAAAAAAGTTGCACATTCTTCCTTTAAAGTTAAGATCAGGCAAGACAACAAATGATGACATTGAATTTGCTTCCTAACAGCTTCATGTATAAATCTTTTAAGTCCTGAATCATGCAGAGATGAAGACTTCAACTCAGCCTGACATCCCATATCCTTTTCTCCTCTGCCTCCCTCACACATGTCATAACTGATTTCAGCAGATCTGCTCAGTGCTCAGTGGGCGGGATATGGAAAATCAAGATGGGCCAGATTATAAAGTACTTTGGTATGTTGTGGTTAATAGAAATAAGAGTGCTACAAGCACAATGGTAAATGGACTTGAGCTTGTATAGCACTTTTCTTGTCTTCTGACACATCACACCTACCCATTCTAATGGCAAAGGCTGCTATGTAAACTGTATTTCAGTATTTACTAATCCCATTACACCACTGACAATGTAGCAGGAGCAAATTGGGGTGAAGTGTCTTACCCAGTTCACATCAGACATGTGGCTGCAGAGCTGGGGATTGAACCTCCGACCTTCCAGATGAGAGACGCCCGACGCTACCATTGAGCTACAGCAGCCCCACAATCCATGAGATATGATGCTACATTTTTAATGCAGTGGTTTTGAAAGCATTGTATACTGTTTCCTTGAATAATTAAGGACATTTCCTATTTGGAAGTATCTGAGGTATAGATAATAGGACATAAGTCTAATAAATTCCATGGAAAAATTTGAAATTTCACATTGACTTTTTTTTCTCCTTTAAGCTCACATTTCCTCCTCTAACAACTTTCTTCAGTGTATGGTCACACATTCTGTACATTGCTGAATCATAGTTTTTCTTAGCTCTCCACTGTGCCTCACCAAACTCGAACATTGTCTTGATATCCTCTACTGTTACAGTCACCTTTTTTTCCATTTCCTTTTGTGTTTTTTTTTTTTATCTGCCTCAGTGTTTATAAAAAACTTGAGAAATGCAAATGAAAAGTGATTACAAAAGAAGGCAGACTAATATACACAAATGCTACATGAAAGGGATGTAAAGAATCAGTTGCTCAGTCTGTAGGGACTTGGGTTGGGAATCGGAGGGTGCAGGTTCAAGTCCCGGTGTGGACCAAAGCTGGAAGTTGGTGTGACAGCTGGAGAGGTCCTGAACACTGTAGAGGTGCTCTTGAGCAAGACACCAAACTGCTCTGGTGGGTTAGCAGCTTGTAGCAGCCCCTCTGACATTTCTCCACCATTGCATGTCCACAGGTTCTGTTTGTGCATGTGTGTGAGAAGGATGTCTCTATAAATTAGAGTGTAAACCTGAATTTTCCTCTGGGATTAATAAAGAATGTCAAAATGAAAAAAATAAATAAAATAAAAAAATTGGTTTAGCTCACACAGAGCTAACAAATTAGCTATTCTTGTGAAGCATATTTTATAGATTTAAAATACTATTTAAAGAAAAAGAAATTTTTTAACTACACCTGAGGATACATTAGATTCAGTGATATTTTTCAAAATATCGTAAGAAAAAAAAAATCTTTCAATATATATTCTTTTTGAATCATAAAGAGCCAAAGAGGGTGAGTCTCTGCCTGGTCAGTGACTTTTGTCTACATTGTCCAAAATAAAGAAAAAATTGTTTAAAGATATTTTTACTTACTTACAAATTTTAATTCCTTGCAAGCAAAAAGGTAATATAATTTTTAAATTATTGAAACCCAGAGAAAAAGAAAACTGGTGTTATGATTAATCTACTAAAATTACGTTGTTCCTAGAGTGCCACGTTGGAGCGGCTGTGGCTCAGTTTATAGTCAGTTGTCTCTCAACCAGAGGGTCGGCTCCTGCAGCACATGTCTGATCTGTCCTTGGGCAAGACACTTAACCCCAAGTTTCTCCTGCTGCTTCGTCGTGTGAATGTGAAGTAAGTGTAGTCACTTATGAAGGTCACTTTTCATAGACGCCTCTGCAATCAATGTGTGAATGGTTGTGAATGGGTGGTGACCTTCGGTGTAAAAGTGCTTTGCATGCAAGAAATTCCTGTCTAACTCAAAGTGCTTCAGAGCTGAAATGGCTAATTTCTACAAATGAAATAAAAATACAAATAATGAAGCGTGTTGAAAGCAAATTTAACTCTCATACAACAGCATTGCAGGTCAATTATTTTATAAGGGGCAGCAGCTCTCTAGAAACTTCATAGTCACTGATTGTATGCTGTAATGCTAGCTCCTCAGTTGCAGCAGCACATCAAATGGCACACAATGAATTTCTCTTATGTCCTTGAAGTATTTGAGGGGTCCCTAAAACTTGCCAGACACAGTAATTAACAACTTTGCTGTCCAAAACAAATTCAATGGCTGAAATGGACTGCAAAATGTAAAACAAATGTGCTGCAACATGTAAAAGAACAAACGTGCTGCAAATACAATAACCATGCACAAAACACACATATCAGAAAACATTCGTAAATATATGCTGCAGTCTTCAATAAAGGAAGGGCCTGTAGGGGCGCTTAGTGGAACAGTTTATTATTGATGGGAGCGACTGCGGGAGGCCAGGCACTGAATGTATTTTTAAGATGGGAATTTTAGAGAGTCCTGGCACCAGTGCACACAGCTTTTATTCACCAACAAAGAAATAATGATTTGGTCAACATCAGGCTAATGTGAGTAAAGGTTTTATCATGTGTTCTCTCTTTTAACTCAGCTTAGCCAGTCACCTCATTGCTCCATTGGTCCATTCCCGCTGTGTCTGGACTATTTCCTTTGTGTAACGTTAAGTAATAATTTTTGAGAGTTTGGGAAAATATGCTTAATTCTCTCATCTTTGGTGAGAGGAAAATACCAATCTCATCTTTCAGTTTATGTGAAGCTTTGGACATAAGGATATAAGGATATAAAGCTATATGCATGAGAGAAGTACTACATAAATATGACAGAGAATTGA